TCCCGCCCGCACTGCCCTCCCCCCGCAGCAGGGGCGCCTAGGAACTCCGGTCCCCGCACCTGCGATTTGGTTTCGTTTTTCTTTTGTATTATCCGCTGCCCAGTTCCTTTTTTGTCTTTCTCTTTTTTTTTTTTTTTTCGCTGGCGGTGAGCCAGAGGGTCGGGAGAAACGCTGCTCGCCCCACACCCCGTCCTGCCTCCCACCACACGTGCACACACGGGACTGTGGCCGACGACCCCTGGCCTGTGCCGGGCTCACGGGCGGCGGCGGACCCCGACCTCCAGTTGCCTACAATTCCAGACGCTGACTCGGTCCTGTTTTCTATTCTTGATTTTTCCTGCAACCCATCAGACCCCAGGCCTCACCGGAGGCCCGGTGACCAAGGAACTCACCGTCTGGGGGAGGAGGAGAGAAGGAAGGGGTGGGGGGCCTGGACATTTCGTTCTGTAGAGAACTATTTTTGTTCGTATTTACTGTCCCCTGTAGGGGGGACTGGGCGGGAGTGCCGGTCACCGCGGGGGCCGAGGGGCAAGAATCCGAGGAGTAAAGAGTTTGCTCACTGCTGCCTCCACGGCCTGTTTTCTTTATGTGTTGGGGACGCTGGGCAGGTTTGCGGCTTAGTGAGGAACCCACAACAAAGCCTTAAAGAAACGGTTTCCCTATTGGGGCCACCATTTCCCTGTCCTCCTTACCTTCTCAAGATTAAGGAGGAGTGCTAGAGGGGACGGGCAGCTTGGGAGTGGTGAGAGGAAGCTCCTTGATTCAGGGTTCATCCCCTGGGACCTCTGCTTCAGAGGATCCAGCAGCTCTCCCAGCTCTGCTTGGTGTCTCCAGCCCTGGGGCCACACTTCCCTCTCGGTCCAGCCTCCTGTCCACCTAAGTTTATTTCAGAGCAGTGCCGGGGATCCGGTCCCGGTTGCTAACTGCTCCCACTGCTCCACCTGCAGGTGCTCCCAGCACTGACTTCTGCCACCACACCTGTTCTTTCCCGGCTGCGAGGTTTAGACCTGGGTCCTTCCCTTGAGTCCCCTAAAGCTAAGCTAAGACCAAGTGGAACAAACTTGGCCTTGGGGACAGCAGGAGAGTACAACACAGAAAAAGAGAGGGAGGTATGACAGGACACTGCATAGGACTCACAGCGTCCCCAGCCCACATGCCAGCCCCTCCTGGCCTCCTCTGTTAGCTCCCACCCCCAGCACCCCGCTGACCCGGAAGTGCCTTCTGCCAGCCCCGGATCCTCCCACAGCTGACCCATCTCTAGGCTCACCTTCTTCCTTATGCACAGAACCCCACTGCCTGGGACCCAAAGCACCCAGATAAAACACCTCTCTGGGGCTTCTTGTGGATAGGAGTGGCCAGGGGACACAGCTCTGAGCAGTGAGATGTAAGCAGGAGTGATGGGTGGGGCTTCCAGAAAGTTCCTTAAAAGTCATGCCTTCCTCCACACCCCACAAAGCCTCAGTTGTCCAAGTTTGTGGCTCTGTTTTTTCTCTCTCATCCCTCCCTCTGTTCTTCAGTCAGCAGGATGGGGAAGGAGCCTTCTTGAGATACTGAGCGTAAAAGTGTCACCCTCAGGACAGTGAAGGGTGGAGCTGGGGGTGGAAGTTGCAGCGCCTGGGACACCTGCCCTGGCTGCAACCTCTGCACTGCTTTTATTTATCTACTTATTTTTTATAGAGTTGGGGGTCTCACTATGTTGCCCAGGCTGGTCTCGAACTCCTAGGCTCAAGTGATCCTCCGGCCTTGGCCTTCCAAAGTGCTGGGATTACAGGTGTGAGCCACCGCACCACCTGCGTGTCTTACTGTGTGAGAAAAAAAAAATAAACGTTGATGTGATTAAAACACTAGAATTTGGGTGTTCTGTTCCATACACACTTTCCAAGTTCTTGTGACCCTCCCTGATTGGCATATGGGCCCCCTGAGTCCTCTAAGGCCAGAGAGACTGAAACCCACCCTTCCTTGGCCACAGTCCCCTGTGGTGACCCTCAAGTCACCAGGAAGAGGACTGTCCATGACTCAGGCTGAGGAGTCCACCTCTGTCCAGAACAGGACTGCCCCTGCCTTCCAGTGAGCACAGGGCAGCCGAGCAGAACTCACCCCAGAGAAAAGCAGCACTGGCCACAGTCAGTAAACAGCAGGTGCTTCCTCCTAGTCATCAAGATGATAAAGTATCACCTAGAAGCAGAACTAGAGGCAGAACTTGAGACAGGGACAGCAGGGCCCAATCCCAGTGGCCAGCCCTGGTCCGATCCACCAGGCTGGGGACCCTGGAGCGTCAATGACATCCCAGCACTGTTCTTGTCTGGAGGCAAGTGGGTCACCCTCTGTCAGGCACGAGTGCCAAGCTGGCATGAGGGCTGCAGTAGAAGCCCCTGGTGCAGAAGGTGGGCAGCTGGGGGCTGTGAAGAGGCCCACACGGTGGTGCAGAGGGCATACCTCTTTATGTCACCCTGAGTGTGTCCCCGAATACCCATGAGGGGTCTGGGAGGCAGGGGCCTCTGTGGGCACCCACTCTGTCCTCCTTGACCTCTGTCAGCTGGGCCCGCTCTGTGTCAGCTCTTCTGGCACTGGCCTGTGCATCCAGGACCGGGGATGTGGAGCTCATTGTTAATCAGAGTGGCAGTCCCAGTCCCCAGGGACACACTCAGGCCCTGACCTCCCCGGAGGGTGGACGGAATGTTGCCAGTGGCCATTTGGAAAAACTCTGACATCTTCCAGGCAGCAGGAGAAGGAGAAAACAAGGTCGGCGGAGCCAAAAGTCCTAGACCATTCTCTCTTAAAATGGCACACCCTTGTCCCCAGAGCTCATATTTTGACATCTGGTTCTGGGAGCTAAGGAGGAAAAGGCTCCCATTGTGCGGCTTGGATCATCATCACCGCACCCCCAGGCGCTGTGCTTGCATTACTGCATTAACCCTCACCTGCACCCGAGGGCAAGGTTTTCAACCTTGGCACCACTGACCTTGGGGACTGGGTCATTCTCCATGGCAGGGGGTGGAGGGCTGCCCTGTGCACGTGGGATGTGCAGCCCCATCACTGGCTTCCATGTGGCACTTCGATGTGCCCTGTCCCCAGTTGTTGCAAGTCAAAGTGCCTCCAGTAATTGCCAAATTCCCTGTCCCCAGTTGTTGCAACTCAAAGTGCCTCCAGTAATTGCCAAATTGGGGGCAAAATCGTCCTAGATTGAGACTCACTGCCTCCGGAGGAAGGGATTGTCATGCCCATTTTACAGAGGGGTAAGTGGAGGCTGGGAGAGGCAAAGTCACTTGCCTGGGGTCACAGTTTCTAAGAAGCAGAGGCGAGAGTTGAACCCAGGGCTGCCTGACGCCAGAGTCCAGTGTTTCACCCCCAAGCCAGGCAGCCCTGGGCAGGCATCAGGCATCCACGCCCCCGCTGGGTGGCCGCAGCTGCCCCCCACCTCCATGCCTCCAGCTGCCTCCTTCCTTTGGCACCCAGAGCCAGGTCAGGCTGAGCAAGGAACCCTGGGGAGCCCAGCTTCATCTGAACGGCTCTGCTGTCAGGGGAAACGCCTCCCCTCCCCCCGCCCTCTGCAGCAGTGTGGCCTGTCCCCTGCCCCCACCTACTCCCCTAAATAAGCAGAATTGCTGTGTCGGCGTTTCCTGCCCAGCCCATGCCTTACTGTTACGAGGCATTTATGGGAGCCTGGGGAGCATCCAGCAGCATCTCCCGGCAGACCTGGGCCCGCCTCCTTGTCCTCCTTGTCTCCCCAGAAGCCTGGTCCATCCTGGCGCATCCCAGCCAGAAGAGTTAAGGGAAAGGCACCAGGAAGA